AGTGAGCTATGTACTCCTATCTCATAGTTTCAACCTATTATGAAAACCAGAAATTGGTTACTTCAGTAATCAGGTTGAAACAATCCAGCCATGAGGTAATATTTATAGATAAGTTCTTCAGTACAGGATCTCCTGAAACTATGAGGAATTCCATTTTAAAAAAGGCTTACTCCAAAGTAGTTCAGGGAATTCTGCCCATTTTTTTTTCTTTTTGATGATAGGAAATCATGTCATTTACCCTTGATTAATGAATAAAAAAACAGTAATGAATTAAAACAATTTGGCCAAATTCATCAAGAATAACCTTCATGCATAATTTAACTTCCACTAATTTTGAAAGCTTCCATAAGCGTAATAGGCAGTGCTTCATTTTGTTTGGTCCACCAACTATAAACAAGAACTGAGTAGAACATGCCACATACAAATAGGAAGCAGATTTTCATCCTTTGGAAAATAGCAAGAGTGTCTAAAAAATTGAGACAGGCTGTAACCTACCCAGGAATTTTCTTGAGATCCCCAAGGGTTGGCTAGCCACTATCCGTTCCCTGCTATATCAACACAGTTACTTTTGTGCAGTTGAGACATGAGACTTTGGTCTTATTTTTTTTCCCTTTGGAAGAAAGGTTCCAGTGGTTTTCCAAGGCCACCAAGGCTTAGCTTTTAAACTCCCCAGAGTCAGCTCTGAGGAAAACCACACAATTGCAGAAGACTGCTCCTGAAAAAAAAAAGCTTTTCCACAAGACCTGATCTGTATACAAGGGCCTACTACCAGAGACTGATTTTTCCCTGCTGCAACACATCAGGGCCTAGCAACGATAGTGCTCATTGTCTCCATCCATTAAAGACAAGTTGAAAGGTCAAAGTGCAATTCTGGTTTGGATGCTTGAAGCTTGAGGCTCTAGAGGAGGGTGCCAAGCTCCTGCTGCTCAAGGCCCTTCTCAAAAGCCAGAACAGTCTCATCTGCCCACGTTGACATAGTGATGGGCTGCAGGAGCAAGGGACTGGTAGGAAGGAACATGTATGTACAGATTAAAAAATACATCTTAAATTATAAAAGAGTAAGAATAATACTGTTGCAGGAAGGCACTTTTTAAATGTCCCTTGGATCCTTCAGCTGAAAGTCTTTGAAAGAACGGAAGTTGCTTCTTTGGCAAAAAATAACAAGGTCTGGGCCACTAGAGTGCAGCATTTGCCAGTTGGAAAGGCAGGGCATGTAGGAATCTACAGGAGAAAGAAAAATGTTGTCAGACAGGAGCAGGGCATTCCCAAAGAGTCCACAAAGGAGGGATAGCTAGGGATACTGTTAAGATATTTAAATTTAGTAACTGGAACAGTGGGGTTATACAATCAGCCAAATATATTATACAGTTATAGTTGATTGGTTGGAGATTGCTGGCTCCTCTGTGAGGCTCCTGCGTGATTGGTTGCTGCGGGTGTGGAGGGAGGGGTTCCCTTTCCCCCCACCGCCATTTTTCTTCTGTGTTCTCTGTATGCTGTTCGATTTATCTCATGATGCTCCTGTCTGCCTATTTTATGACGTATATATAGATGTAAAATATATCAAACTACAAGTTTGTGTCAGCGTCCCATTTGGACATCTGTTGCGCAACTCCTGACAGATGCTCTGAAATCAGTCCATTTTGCTGCCAGATGAGGGGGAAGAAGGCAGATGACAAAGCCACTATTCGTATCTCCAGAGGACTTTTAACAATCCATCAAGGCTACACCCTTCCCCTAATGAAGCATGTTGCTTTGTGGAAAGCATACAAGAGACAACATTTTCCCTTTAGAAGTGCTTTCCTTTGTCTGAAAAAGGACTTCCACCTTCCTTCATCAGAAAGAGTCGATGAGTGAAACATCAGTTGGGGATGGGCTACTGCCAAGGCTACTTATTCACTTTGTGCCCAAGTGCAAATATTTGATTGTTGGTATCCCATGTAGGCAGCAAAACTGAAATTAGGCTCCGGGACTCCAGAGAGCTGTGTTTTCTTACTCACTGCTGTGGATGAATTGAGGGGGAACTAGAAGCAAATTGTTCTTGCTGCTATGGAGACAATTAGAACAAAAATTCTTAGACAATTCTTTAAACAAAGAGCAAGGCAGTGGGGAAGAAAAGGGAAGCTATTTTCTATCCATGCAAGACATTCTAGGAATATATAAAGATTGGAAAAATACTGTCCATTTAGCCTTATTAGAAGCCCTGGTGGTACAGTGGTTAGAATGCAGTATTGTGGGCAAACTCTGCCCACCGTCTGGAGTTGAATCCTGACCGGCTCATGGTTGACTCAGCCTTCCATCCTTCTCAAGTAGGTAAAATGAGGACCCAGATTGTTGGAGGCAATATGCTGATCTCTGTAAGCCACCCATTTGCAGAAAGCCAACTCCTAAACTCTTGGCTAAATCTGAAGTGCAGATTTTCCTACCTGTTCATAAACATCATATTGCATGCTGCTTAGCAGGAATGCAAACCTGGCCCACTAGCCCAGGCTAACATCTCATGCTGAGGAGGCCCTTTCCAATCAGCTATGACCTGAAATCCTTTAAAGGACTCCATTTCCCCTCTTTTGTGAGCCTCCAGCATGCTTAATTTTCTGCTTTGAGCCCACTTTGCATAGTAGTCCTTATATGGAAAAAGGCCAAAGTTCTGAAGAAACATTTTTCTGCTTCTTTTGATTCAAAAACAGGCTCAGCCAAAAGTTGACTCAGCAAGTGATCTGGAAGATCAATGGATACTTTAACTATGCAGGTCATAAGCCAGGGCATACATCCTTCCAGGTTCAGCCCGTTTCTCTAAAACAGTGGTTCTCAACCTTTTTAATGCCACGACCCCAACCGGTCGTAAGTCGAGGACTAAACCGGTCGTAAGTCGAGGACTAAACTGGTCGTAAGTCGAGGACTACCCAACCGATCGTAAGTCAAGGACTTTCCCTGACCGGGAGCGCTGCGCATGCGTGGTTCCGCCCCCTGCGCCGGCCGAGGTGTAGCTGGCAAACGGCAGAGACGGAGCAGGCCGACCACCAGCTGGCTCAGCTCAAGGGAGGTAAGGCACCCGCCGGAAAAGGGAAAAAAAATGGCGGACAGCCTTGCTTGGCGACCCCCGTGAAATGGTCGATCGACCTCAAATGGGGTCACGACCCATAGGTTGAGAACCGCTGCTCTAAAACATGTACTTACAATGCAATCCATTTCTCAATTTTCAGGGAGTGAACTCGCCTAACTCAAAGGTGATCAATTAGAAATGACTAAAATTGCTTTCATTCTCTGGGTGGTAGAAAACGGGGGGGGGGATGCTTCTCTCCACCAATAGCGTATTGGATTTGTGTATTTCTGTATTTCTATGGCAGATGTCAAAGACCAGAGCTTTTCATCCTTTCTTTATCTGGTTCACCTTGAACTAATCTGTTCCTTCGGCTTGGAGCACTTAATTGTATAGCTGATCAAGAAAAAATATGAGATTAACTGTGGCATCCTTGGTGTTCCCTGAGCTTGGTAAGTGATATGAGTTTAAGCCTAATTAAGCCTAATTTCAGATTGTCACAATCCAGCAAATAGCAATACAATAGCAATAGTACTTAGACTTATACAGGTAGTCCTTGACTTACAACAGTTCGTTTAGTGAATTGTTCAAACTTACAATGGCACTGAAAAATGTGACTTACGACCATTTTTCAGAGTTACATCTTTGCAGCATCCCCATGTAAAATTCAGACGCTGGCAACTGGTTTATATTTATCAGCATTGCTGTCCCCCCCAGCACTGCAACCTTCTGACAAGCGAAGTCAATGGGGGAAGCAGGCTACTAACTGGTCAACTGCAGTGATTCACTTAACAACTGTGGCAAGAAAGGTTGTAAAATGGAACAAAACTCACTTAACAAACGTCACACTTAACAACAGAAATTTTGGACTCAATGGTGGTTGTAAGTCAAGGACTATACCGCCCCCTTGTGCTTTATAGCACTCTGTGGGTGGTTTACAATGTCAGCATTGATTCTAAATGGTAAAACTAAAAGGTAGAAAAGTCACAGCCAATGCTTTACTTGGTCACCAAAGCACACTCTTTTTCTTCACCTCAGGACCTTTAGGTGAGTACTTAAAACATACAGATCCCACATCTGCAGTCTGAACTGATGCAGTCTAACTTTAGCAAAACAGTGTGCCACTTGCACGCTTTGGGCCTCCAGAAGAGGTCCAGCAGAATCTGGTTTTGGGGACAGGATTGTGATGGTTTTCTTGATTACGCTAGCAAACAGCTTTTCATCCCCAGTGAATATTTCAGCAGCACCAGTGAACCAGCTACCCAACCCCAATCCCATCCCCCTAAATCAAGGGTGGACTTAGTAAGCTAGTATATACTGCATTAGTGTGATAAGGTGATCCTGGGAACAGACGACAGACTGAAAGATGCAATCAGGAGAGGATATCTGATCATCTTGCCATGCCAACCATGCAGGGATAAGAAAAAACAGGTTGATTCCTCTGAGTCAATGCAGGGATTCTCAACAGCGAGGGGCAAGGGGGCATCAACATTGTAGGGCTCGGTGCTTCTTTTAAAGTTGTTACTATTTAGCATTTTCTTTCAAAATGAGTATTTATGAAAAACAATGCCCTGCTCTGGGCCAATGCCTAAGGGGAAATAGAAGCTTTTTTTTTCAGAAGGGATTCTGGCAAGGCCAGGGGGATTGTCAAGCTGACCTTGCTTAAGTCCCCCCTTCTTTTGTTCAACCTCTGATATCGAAGGCAGAACAGCTCCCAGCTGCTACTGGGATTTCTAAGCAACGCTGCCCCATTCCACAGGGCAGTTCTGTTCCTGCACAGAGGTAGGTTCTGGGGAGCAGGAGCAGATCAAGGGGAAGGAGTTGAGAAGCCCTGAACTCATGGGAGAAGATGGGAAGGCATGCAAGAAGGAATTCTCAGGGTCCGTGGCGGAGAAGGAGTTGCATGCAGAAGAGGTCGCAGCTGACGTTCCAGGGTGGTACCTTTGATGGGGGATGAGTGGAGCTAACAGTTGGGCTCCTCGTGGTGAGACGGCTCACAGAAAAAACGAGAGCCCCGCTTCGCTGTGCGGGCAGTGAAGGGGACGCTCTTCAACACTGTGAGACGGAAAGGGATGGATGGACAGAGACATACAGACATCAGATTGTTCGATATGCAGTGCAGAACTTAAGATAAAACTGTCTGTAATGGCATTCAAAGATATGCACCATGGCGCATAAAACCACAGCCACCAACAATGATGCATCCAATGCTGGAAAGCTGGCGTTTCTGTTCTTTACAGGGCCAGTGGCCCAAAGCCAAGACTCCATCACATCAGAGTCGGCTTGGAAGAAGTCCTCTGCGTAGGAAACATGGACCGTTCCATTAGCCTTTTGGTTCCCAATGCATAGAGGAAAAAAAAGCAATGTTTTAACTCTGCCCTGTTTTTTGCCCTAATAAGCAGGTTTACGGATACTCAAAGCACGAAAAAACAGTCTGAGTTTAACACCTTTCAAGTGGGCGGTTAGGAGACATTCAGTTCTCACCATTTCATTCTCATTGTCCTTCTCTCTCTAACAAACATGGATTACTCACATCCAGGATGGGAGGGGGGACCCCGACAATCAGGACTGCTGCTACCAGCACCTTCCTTACCGCCACTTCTGGTTTGAGAAGACTCCAAATCAGACTTTTTGAGGAGCACCTACAATTATTTGTCAGAGCTGAGTGACAGCTGTCTGGCAGTTCTTTGATCAACCAGAGTCTGCTCACAACATGGGCTCACCTTCTCAAGACTTAAAATTATAGTGATGTGGAAGCAGCAGAATAAGATGGGTGGTAAGGAGAGAGAGCTGTGGGCACCAGGGCCCCCCCTGTAAAGCAGGCCTTTAAGGCCACATGCTGTCAGGGGCTGGCAACTAACCAGGCCCTCCAGACCTCAACTGCAAAAATCCAGGCCCTCGCTAGATGATGTCAGGATTTTTGCCTCCATCTGATGGTTGGGCAGATTTCTGTAGCCCAGACATAGCAGCCCAACAATTGATTCATAGTAGGACATCAACTGATCCCCAGAGAGTAACGAAAAGTGCCAAAGGAAGCAAAATTCCTGGAACTTTATTGAAAATTTAAGCAAGGGGAGCAATTTTGTCAATCAGGGTTGGAAAATCTGCATGAGCAAAAATTCTCTTGCCTATAAAATAGTTGCTACAGAAGCCTCAGCTATTGGTTTTACTACTTTCTTGGGCTTTTTGATGTGATTCAATCATGCTTCAGTTCAAGATGGGTGCTTTTTGAAATGAATCTTAAATCAATGTCATCCCTTATTAGTCTGGGAACTGCATGATTTTGAAGTCCGATTCCCTGTGAAAGGGGTAATGAGGACCAGAAAGGCCCTGGGCTAAAGTCAAGAGGACTCAATACCCAAATATGTTGCAAGTAGCAGATCTCCTTCCTTTTTTGGCATCACGGTAAAGTTTTCCCTGGAAGAACATGAGAGCCGAGCTAAGGAAATTCATATGGCAGGATCGGGAGTTACCTGTAATAATATCCTCAATGGTCCCATCTTTGCCTTCATAAACAGGCCTGTGGTCCTTGGCTTGGCGCCGCCTCAGCTCAGCAATTAACTCTTGCTGCTGCCATTTGTTGCGCTGCAAAGACAACTGGGGCTGGTCAAGGATTAAGAGGAAAAAAGCAAAAGACGCTGCCCAGTCTGACCACCACACATCCTGTTCTGTGACCGATCCAAAAGAAGGTTGGGAAATCCAAACTGGGATTTATGTCATGCCCATGCAACGTGGTTTTCTTTCCTTCACAATACAATGCACAACATAATGAGTCAGAGAATGCCCAACCCAGACTGACATCATCTGTTGCAATGGCAAATACACACTAGCATCAGACTAATACTCTGCTTGAACTCCTTCAGAAGACACTATATTGTCAAGGAAGGTTCATATCTGCCCCTGGACACAGAAGGTCAAGAATTTCCCTGAGAACAGATTTGTAGATAAGTAGGCAGCCCAAACTGAAATATCTATATTTGTGATTATTTCTACATCAATATTGTTAGAAAACTATGGGAAAGCTAGCATCTCTTTAATGAGGAACTGATGATCAGGCCCTAAAATACAGAAGCAGAGACCCAGCGGGATGCCCATTCTAGCAGTAGGTGCAGATGGCGTAGGCTGCAACTATTCTAGTGAAGCATCCCATGCTTTGCTAGACGCCCTTCCATTCTCTGCTGAGACACCACCCAAGAGTAGCATCGTAGCAGCTGATACTCTAATGATATAATCTCCAAGCTAAAATATATTACAAGCAAGTTTAAGCTCTATCAAAGCCCATGAGACATAATGATGAACCAGTCTTCCTGTGAGTTGACACCCTCCCTTCCTCAGGCTTCTCGGATTGTTGGCAATCGTACAACATGATGCCCTGGAGTATCTCTTACCTTCTCTAGTCTCTTAGCTTCTTGGGCCAATGCCTGCTCCCTTTGAGCCTGTTCCTGCTTCTTGCGCAGTTCGTTCTCTTGTTCTGCATCCTGAAAAAGAAAGAACAGTGCAGCGGTAGGATGAAGAACTACTGGTCAATGCATAGGCATCTAGCTCAACTAGACCTATTGGTTGATTGGTTCTCCAAAGTCTCAGACTGGACAGTTCTATTCCAACCCAACTGTTATCTCAGATTGTTTTATCTAGAGATGCTAAGACTGAGCCTGAAATTTTCTGTCTACTGAGCAGGTACTTTATTTCTATTGTGCTTGTATATATTTTCTGTTAAAAAAAACACTTTGCATCTATCTCCACATGGTTATTACCACTTATATAGCCAAGCAGTGGCAAAGCAGACAAACGAATGTGGTCCAGACTGTGGAAAGCCAAGTTCCCCTATGAAATACACCTGGTAGGTTTTACCTGCACTTCAATGGGCAATTGTAGAAAAGGGTTATTCTGACCAGGATTAATGACAACTGTAATTCAACACATGAAGATGCCTGGTTAAATAAAACTAAGGGAATTCGTGGCAGACATTTCTCTTGTTTTTTTTTCTTGGAAACTTCAGAAAACCTAATGTTTTCTCTTTTTTGTACTCCTTAGAAACTCTTTTTTATAATTTAGCTTCAATCTATTTCCCCATAACATAGACCTTTTAAAATGAATCACTGACCCCATTTGTGACAAATGCAGATCTGGTCACCTAGTACATTTGCTTTGTTGCATTTGAGATGAAGCAAGAGAGAACTTGCCATAATAAATGTTTTAATGAATTTTGAAAGGGCAGGTGCCCCCCTTAAGGGCCTCAGCCTGCAACAAGAGCCATATAAATACATCAGGCCCTGATTCTCTATTCCACTGGGAACACTGCTCAGGGAATCTATTGTGAACAGTTCAAGCTGGAATATTAATACCGCTGACCAACACAGGTAGTAGACCTATGAGTGTCACTTAGCAGCTGTTTGAAGTTACAACAGACCTATCTGGGGCTACTTACAACCTGGATTCGAAGTTTTAATGGTTGCCCCTCCCCTGGGCATGTGACCAAATTTTAGGTGCTCAGCAACTGGGCTGCACTTACCGCTGTTTGCAGTGTCCCACATCATGTGACCACGTTTTACAACAGTTTTGCCAAAAACAGGTATTTACTTCCAGTTTCCTGCAAAACTGCATCCATCACGAACCAATAGTTCATGTAACAACAATGGGATTTGCTTAACAACTGTGGTCACTGCTTTACAACTGCCACAAAAAAGGTTGTAAAATGGACTTCCGGTGGGACGGCGCGCCGATGGCGGCTCTTTTCGGAGCCGTCCGCTTGGGAAGGCGTCAGAGCCAGCATGAACAGCGGTCAGCAGCTGTTCAGCGGCTTGGAACCTTGTGCCCCGGGAGAAGGGGTCGAGGTGAGTACTCCTGGATAGGAGTAGAGTCCCAAAAGCTCTCCCTTTTTCTCGGGAGAGCG